ACCCGAGATCATTTCACAGACCATGAGATCCAGTTGGCTGGGATTACAAAAAAAAAAATCCACCTGACTGCTTCCCTGGAATGGGGCACTGTTATGCTAGGCCCAGGAGGGTCCTCGTGCAGCCTCACTTCCTCTACCCCTGGCCAATGGCTGGTGAGGTTGAACTCTCAATTAGACCGAAGGCTGGCTGACTCAGATCCTCAGCAATCAGGAGCACCAGGCCTCTCCAATTAAGCAGCCAAACCCTCTTCCTTCCCACCACGGCCCTGGGATAATGAGGGCAGGCAGCCTGGGCATGCAGGCCCAATTACAGAGGGGATGCAGCTCCAACTGAGGACGGCACTGCCTTCCACCCGCGCGCGCTCATTAGCTCATGGCTGCTAAACACTGCCAGAGCTCTTGCTGGGGACGCCTGTCACCAGGAGCACTTGAAGATCTGTCCTCCCTCGCGGACAAGGGTCTGGACACTCCCATGTCAGAGATCTCTTCCATGTCCCTTCTCTACAGCCTGCCCACTCTACAGGCTGCAACCCACTGCAAAAGGTGAGGACGGAGAATGCAGAAACAGTTCCCCACAAACCAGCAAGCCCGGAGGGGAGGGCTCCTGATGCCCTGCACCCTGGCAGAGCTCTCCTAGTCCCCAAGGCTGCCTGTTTAGCACCAACCCTGACTGTAATTCAATAGCTGCAAGTGATTAACTTCTCTTTCTCAGAGGGCAAGGGTCCAGGTCTCCTTGTACCAGGCCCCCATTGCCAGGCACAGGTAAGTATACAAGCATTTGCTGAATCAGTGAAAACTGATACCATCCCTCTTCTCCTAGACACCACAGAGCCTCTGTAAGGGCTAAAGCTTTGCAGGGTCCAGGCCTAAGACTCCTTAACTCTTCAGGGACTCAGATCCTAAGTGACCATCACCTGGGTATCTATGCCTTTGTAATCATCATCTGGGCCCCCAGGACCTTACAGATCTGTTGATTCCCTGACAAATGCAGCTTGTCCCCCAGATACCCAAGCTCCATAAACCTTAGCTTCCCAAAGCTCTCAGCTCAGCCCCGTGTCTTCCAGTCCTAGATCTCAACCCTGAGAGGCCACTGGAGTGTGCTCTAGCCCTCCACCAAGCCCCCTTCTCCCAAGTCAATCTCCCACCACATCCATCAGCAGAGCCTCCCTACCATGCAAATGTCCAGCCTATTTCTAGCTCAGCCTTAGCAGTGGCAGGGTAGTGTCCTGCCCTCCCTGATGGCCTTTACTCTCTTGGCCTTCAGAGCCCAACTTCTCCTAGCAGCTCTCAGTCCTGGGAACCCTGGTTCCAGCAGCTACAGAAATCACCCGGCAGAACACTGTCTTTGACCATCAAGACTCAAGGAAGTGAGCACCTCTCCTTTGGGCTTCTCTCACCTGGGAGTCTTTCGATAGGCAGAATTAGTGGTTCGGTGGTCTCACATGAGCCACTGGCCCCAAAACAGCAGGACCTTCTTGCTGGCACAGCACATCCAAACCTAGAGAGCTACAAAGGTGTTCAGAGACTTTTACATAAATGTTGGAAAACAGTAAGTTCATTGTGGCAGCTCTAATTTTAAGTCCAAAAAACCAAAATTCTGACTCTGACACCACAGCCCCCAATGTGACCATCTCTGAAGGAGGATCCTCAGGGAGTCATTATACGGTAGAGTGAGGTCACAGGGTAGGGCTGTAATCTGATAGGATTAGTGACTTTATACGAAGAGGAAAAGAGGAAAGACCTTGCTCGCTGTTGTGTGACGTTCCATGGAGGTGGCGGATGTCTGCCCGCCCAGAAGAGAGCCCACAGCAGCCCAGGTCTCCAAACCCACAAGGAGACAAATGCCTGTTGTCAAAGTCACCCAGTGAGTTGTATGTCCCAATGACAGCTGGAGCTGACAACCCCAGGAGGTGTCACCCGTGCTCTCCTGAGATCTGTGGGAAACCAGGTCCCTGTTTGGAGCAAAGTGAGCAATCTGAGCAGGAAGGACTTGGGGTGGACCGGGAGCATCAATGACAGTAACAGGAGACCTGACGGACTGGATGCTGCTCGGAGACCCCTGTGCTGCTTCATCCACTCCTCACACCTGCCTGGTTATGACAGAGGCACTGTAACCCTGTCTTACAGGTGAAGAAGTGGAGGCCCAAAGATGTAAAACAATGTGTACAAGGTCACTACAGGGTGGCCAAGTTAGGACCACCAGGCATCAGCATCTCTGATCCTGCTGTTGGGGAAGCTGGAGCTGCCATCCCAGGTCCCTGGAAGAACTTGGAGTCGGTCCTACAAGTGCAAGAGGAGACCCTTCAACCCAGTCAGGGCCCCAGGTCCTGTGTAGGAACGGTACTTGTTGGGCAGCCTGGGAGGACCTGCTGCCCCAGGTCACAGGTGGACCAAGTGGCCTCCTGCCCTAGCCCCTTATAGTCGAGGACTTTGTCTTTTATAGAACCCCCAGCTGGTCTTTCTAATTCTTCCTCATCTGCTTCAGATATGCCAGAGACTCCAGCTCTCTTTCAGTGTAAGACCTCTATAATCTGTTCCCAAGCCTGTCACCTCCCAGTGGCTGTCATCACCATTGAATTTGTCTCCTGCTTTTCGTGTCCCCTTGTAACACACAGCAGCGAGGGACATTCCTTAAACACACCTCCGATCACACCACACCCCTGCTTGCACACCCACCAGCATCTCCCTTTACATTTCCATTAAAACCCCAGATCCACACCTCGACTTATAAAAATTTGGGGTGGTCAGTCACCACCACACCTCTGGCTCCCACCAGCCCAGATGTCTCCTCATACTGTCCCTTAGACAAGCCTAGCTGGTTCTGCCTCAGGGCCTCCCTACCTGCTGTTGCCTCTGCCTGGAACACTTTTCTACTCAGATTTTTGCTGAGGCTGACTGATGCTTAGGTTCAGGTCTGAGCTCAAAAACCGCAGCCAAATCCTACCACATCACTCTGTCTTAATTCAATATACAGCACTGGGTCTACTTGAAATTTTTATGTTCATTCATCCATTATTTGTTGTCTCTCTTGTCTGTCACTGGAAAATCATCTCAGTAAGAACAAGGATTTTGTACATGTCAGAGTATGGCCGGTATCTAGAATGGGGTCGGCACATGGAGGGCCCTCTCCTAGCTAAAAACTGAATAACCACAAATCAGTGACACAATCTTCTGACAGATTAGGACACCCCACCCCCATATCTTCTAAATGCTCTTCATCCATCTAGGGCTCCATTTATTGCCTCTCCCCACAACTCGGGCCTGGAACAAATGTCTCCAAAGCTCAAAGGTCTCCCCCACCTTCCCAGCCAAGCCAGGACTCAGTCCCCAGCCTGCTGCAGAGTAGAAACCCCTTTAAAAGGGGCCGGGGGGTACCCAGCAGGCATTGGGAAGGTGGAGTAGGGAAGAACAATTCCACACAGCCCCATGCAGCTGAGGTCTCCCTGGCCCTCAGCACTGTTGCCTAGGAAATGTCTCCTAGGAACAGCTGGATTAACTCTTCGGTAGCCGGAGCAGCAGCAATCTCCGTGCTAAAGGCCCTGAACATTTCCAGAGCAGAAGACAAGCCTGGCTCTTCTTCACGGTTCCATAAACCTATAATATTTAGAGCAGCTGAGGGACTGAAGGACAAGAGGAAACAGGCTGTCGGGGTCATTTCTCCCAGGTAAACATAACCCAGTTGCCCAAATCCTGCGAGTGAAACATTCCTGAGTCCTAAGCCCACAGCCTACACTAGTTTCTAGTCCAGGCCCTACAGAGGAGCCAGACACCCCAACACTCAGGTCCCTCCATTGTGCTTGGACCGATTAATCCACACTGCTCAGCCAGTTCATCCCATACATGTGACAGAGCTGGGAGGGAAACGATCGTAGCCCAAATCCTGGCTGTCCTACTTATTAACTGGGTATGTTAACCTCTTTCTCATCTGGCTTCCAAATGCCACTAAAAATGCCCTGACAAGGATTCCAATGGCCTTGATGTTCCAAGTTCTCATTTATTTCTCTTCCCGTATGTTGTGGTCCACTCCACCTTTATCTCCCTGCCCTGTCCCTAGTCTTTGTCTCCTATTATTCCTTCCCAGGTCTTATTTACTTGACATATTGGTTTTTAGTTTCTGCACCCAATGTGACCTCAAGAAGGAAGGTTCATTATTACAACTCCGGGTTTAAAATAGTGCCTGACATGGAAGTTACTTGGAGGTAGATTCCTAAAAAACTAGGGTGAAAACAAAATAGAGGAAGATGCGGTAACTTGGAAATACCTGCATGTGTCTAAGCAAGGAGGGCAGCAAAGGGACGTCCCATGATAATTTCTGTGCAGCAACTGGCCTAGACTAGAGCAGGAATAAAAACCTAGAAGGGCTCTGAAGAAAACCCAGTTGAGCTCCAGGTGATAGATGGTGAAACTGAGATACTCAATGAGCTTGACATTTGGGATGTGTGTTGTACTTAGGGCAATAAGATGGAGAAAAGCAATCAGAAGCTCTAGGAAGCACTAAAAGTAGTATTTTAAAATACCTTTAACTCAACATTAAGTAATTGAATATATGGTACAATTTGCCATAAGGAAAACATTTCTTCTGACTGCATATTCTTTGAGGACCAAGGAAAACAGACCAATAGGAATAGAAAGTGAAATCCTAGCATGTGGTTTGGCCCTGAGGAAAACAGCATTTACTGAGGGCCTGGTTACCAGACAAATGTTCCCCTTACCCACACTCTACAGATGAGGAAGACGAGGCTGAGGTGGCACACAAGTCTTCTGAGATCCTATGCCTAAATGTAGAAGTGGACCCCACCCAGCCTCTAAACCAAAAGTCTGCTCCCTAGAGCTGGCCCTAGAAGCCAGGCTCTCCTTCACACCTTGGTTCTGAACATCGCACGTACATGCACGCACATGTACAAACACACACACTCCCTCGGAGACAGGGTACAGAGCCACAGAGTAGCAGAGTTGGTCTGGGCCGAGTCTCCAGAATGGCAGGGCCGAGCAGGTCTTACCTTCCGGCAGTCTCTGCAGAACACCGAGGAGCTGCCCAGGAAGCCCAGCAGCTCCCCACACAGCAGACACTGAGAGATGCCATTCCCCATCACATTTCGCCTCATGGTCTCCAGCCGCTCCACCAGCCGCCTGCAACACATGACCCAGAGTCAGTGGGCATGTGCTTCCTGTCTCCAACCCAAGCACGGCCTGGGCATGGCCACCACAGGGTCCCAAGACTAGGCCACCTGTGCTGGTCCTGTAACTAGGGTACTGATCCATGCCCAGCCTTTCCCCTGGCTAATGGCTAACCATTTATTCACTCGACTACTAAATACCTAGGGTATGCCAGCCACTGCAAATATTGTCATGAACAAGCCAGGGACAGGCACAGCCCTTATTCTCACAGAAGTTATGCTCAGTAAGGAAGAAAATCCATAAATAAGTAAACCCACATGCTGGCTTCTGATAGGGAGCTGCAGATAATGGGGGAGGAAGCCAGGGGCAAGAGGCCCATTAGCTGGGGACCAAGGAAGGGGCTCTGAGAACACCTGAGGACAGAGCAGACGGAGGGCAAGAACCCCACCATGTGATACAAAACTGGGGAGCCCCCAGCTAGATGGAACAGAAGGTGCCAAGGCTCAAGCCGAGACACAGCTACCAGGAAAGTGGGCACTGAGGCTACAATCCAAGGAGCCAAGGAAGGCAGAGATTAAAATAATAATAATAATTTTCTAAAAATGCCCAGTGAGACAGGAGGAGCAAACAAGGATACACTGCATGGACACACGTCCCAGAGCTCAATCTGAAGCCACTGACGAGCTCTAAGGAGAGTGATTCGATTTGATTAACATCTTGAAAAGCTCACTCTGGCTTCTGCGAAGAGCTGGGAAACAGGGAGGAGGCAGAGGAAAGGAGGCCAGGAGGCAGCTGTGGCCAGCTGGCAAGGAGCGTGAGACTGCTCCGATGGCTGGGCAGGGCAGGTGAGAGGTCCGGAGGATATAAAGGCTTTGCGGTCTGAGTATCTGGGCAGGACAGGAAAAACAGCTCCTCCTTGAAATCCCAGGGACCCCGCAGCCTGGGCAAGTTCTCCTCAGGTCCTGCACCCCATTGTCACACTGCCACCCCTGACATGTGAACAATACCCATGAAGTGTGCTGGTGTGTCGGCCACTGTAGTCACTCAGTGAAAACTCCTAGATGCACAGTTATATTATCTCCTCCAACTGTCACATCCCTCAGTGAAAAGGATGCTATATTTCCATTTTAAAGATGAGAAGACTGAGGCTCAAAAACATGGAAGCCACTTGCTGGGGCCACAAGGTTCCCAAAGAGGTGAAGCCAGGATTAACTCCCAGGCCTGTGTAGCCCAGCACCCCCGCTTTGCAGTCTCCCAATGTCCCCTGGGCTGGTGCTGCACTCTGCTGGACTGAGCAGACCAGAAGGGGAGGCAGCCTCTACCCACACGCCCTCCAGCAAGCACTTCTGGTTTCAAAAGGTTACAACCCGAGCCCTGGCAGGAACCATGTACTCTCGGGGACCCTCTGTCAGTCTACTCCACATCTCCATCCCTCACATCGACACAAGATGCAGTTACAGTTAACCTGTACCTGCTCTGGGTCACTCCAGCCCCAGCTGACCCAGCTCTCACAGTGGGGCCAGAAAAACAGGACCCCTAAGGCTGTCCCAAGAAGGCAAAGACAGTACCTCAAGGGCTAAGAGGGTCCCTAAGTCCTTCCAGAGCACAGAGGAGCCCACTATGAAGCATCCCCACCTATCCAGCCCCCTAGGGCAGCTAGGAACTTGGGCTGGCACCTACATTTGAAGTCACCTGAGAGCTTGGCAGGTTTGTGGCTGAGATCTGAAAGCTGGTGGGATCCAAACAGGGTAAATGGTATAAAAGAAAATTCCAGCAGGCCCTTCCTGATAATGACTCATCAATATTATTAAGGCACATACAAGAGACTGTCAGAACAGCAGGCATCGTGACCTGGTAGTGGGTCCGCTACCTTCCAAAACTGAGGGTGTGTCTCTATGATGTCTGAGTTTAACAAGATCATATAATCAACCGAAAAAGAACAAGGAGACAGGAATGAAATGAATTTCTGCCCAAGGCAATGCACTGAGATTTTCCTGCTTGTACCTTTCTGTGTTTCTCAGATGTTCTAGGAAACGGGAATTGCTTTTGTAATGAAACAAACAAAAAGACATAGCAAAAACACTGGACAACTGTGAGTTGTGGCCAACTCCGGATGTCAGAGACAGGAAAGGAACTTCCAACACTCTGGAGGACACCTTCTATCAGGGCCGTGGGGGCTGACTGTTCGCTGGTCAGCAGTCATGTGAAGCTGTCCCTCGGCTGCAGACTAGCTGGTGGGCAGCGTGTAGAGCCCAGCAGCCTCTAAGGAAGTTTATTAGGCTCACTCCTGCCCAGGAGCTTGGGACCCACAGACCAGTCCCTATCTCTAGCTTCCAAAAGGATACAAGGAGGCTCCGAGGGTGCGTACACTTGCCTGTAGGCCAGGCTATCTGCCAGAGCAGCAGGAGCCCTCCCGACTCACACTCAGCGGTGACTGCAGCTTCCCCGCCAGTGCCCTTGACTTCTCCCCACCAGCCTGCACGCTGCCCGGTCCCGACAGCCCTTACCCGATTCTCTGCTGCTCCAGGGCGTCCAGCTGCTCGGCCCGCTGAATGACCTGCAGGATGGCCTCCACCTCCGCTGGGCTGAGGCGCTGGCTCCTCCTCTGCTTCTCAGTCTGGTAGGTGTGCACAGACCAGCCTGTCTGCAACCTCAGGGAAGAATGACACTGGTGATGCGGAGGCCACCCCAGGGTGAACCTGGTGCCACCACAGCATCTGTAAAGCCCCTGGGGATGGTCTGGGGACAGCCTAGGAACCACAGGTTCAGAGCTCATCATGAGAGCTCCTCGAAGGCCTAGGTATACGCCCACCACTGGACTTCAGCATTATTGAGACACAGTGCTCCCCTCAGAATGGGAGTCTCTGGAGGGCCAGGCCTGCACCACCTAGCCCCAACCACCCTTCCTGTCTTACTTTCACACCGTTCATCCCTTATTCTCTGCACTCAAGCCACACTAGCCTCCTGTCAGGGCCTCTACATGCCATGTTCTACCTTAGGGCCTTTGCATATGCTACAGAACGTCCTCATATTTCCAGCTAACATTTACACCTCTTCCAAGACTCACCATAAGCACCACACTTGCAGAAAAGTGTCTCCAGATCTCCAAACTAAGTGAGCACCTGCCACGTGTCCCCACTATCAATTATCACTGTAAGAGCAGCTGCCACAGGGAAGCATTTGTATAACGCTTGAAGATGATGGACTGGGTTACTTTTGTTCACTGTCTTGCAACCAGTGCCTGGCACACAGGACGGGGTTAAAATGGGTGGGTGGTGGCTGGGGACCCTGAGCTGCAGGGGACTCCCTAAGCTTCCTGGAGGATTCTGTGGCACAGCTCCCAGCCCTGCAGCCCTGGCATTTGTATAACCACCTTCACGGAGACTGCTAGGCCTTCCGGGCAGCACACCCTGGGGAAGATGAGCACGTCCGCTCTTCTGGAAGGTGCTACTACAGCCTTTGGTTGCCACTGAGTGAGAAGAGAGGTCAGGGAGAAGGAAAGGACACTGGAGGGGACAGTAGGGCCACACGGGTCCTTATAAAGAGTGCATGCAGCTCAGCTGTCCCCAGCAACATGTCCTCTGCCAGGAGGACACATCAGTCACTTGGCAGCAGACGAGAGGGAGGAACTGACCTGAGCCCTGGTCACTCTCCCTGCAGGGGTCAGGTGGGGAAAGCTGAAGGAAGCTGAGCCATCGGGCAAAAGGGACAAATTAATTGTGAGGCAAAGATTCCTGCGAATCAGGCATGACGCCACTCATCTTGGGCGTTTCGGATTAATTTTCCTGTCCCCCTTTGATGTTCCAGCTCTGTCCCCCTGCAGGCTCATAACATCTAATTGCAAATTCCTTAAACTTGGTCCCAGTTGGGAAATGCTGGCTCCCTTAATTGGCACAGCTTGACAGAGGCTGGAGCACTCTTGGCCTGATCAAACACCGGGGACCTCTGCCCCTCAAAGGCCTGGGGAGGGACTGGATGGCAGGAGCCACCTCTGTCAGCACCCTGTCCCTCCTGAGAGTGGGGACAGGACAGTGCGGGAAAAGGGTCAGATCTAACTGGAGCTGAGGGATCACCAGGCTGGGGGGTAACAGGAAAATTGGGGCAGTCCTTGGGAGAGTCAGGCAAGGAGAGAGACACTGTCAAGAGCAAGGGAGAGACCTGAGAAAACAGATGGCAGTGGCCGCAGCCGAGGAGCCCTTCCTGGAAGAAGCCCATGTTTTCTGATCACGCCGAGCACGGAGCTCTGCAGTGGGCACCCAGCGATCAAAGGCTTCCTGCCTCCACTGGTTTCTGAACCTTATGGCTTAGAGACTAGAGAAAGGGGGAGATGAGGTGGCCTGGTTCCCCGGGATCTGCTTGGGAGTTGGGGAGCCCCAGATGTATGTCCCAAAGAGCTATACCCTACCTTCCTCATCTAAGCAATAAAGATGAACACCACAAGAGTTAAGTCCCTAGCTCAAGGCCCAGAGTGTGGCATGTATCCAACAGACACTTTTCTCCAAATTCCCCTTCTACCCCTGGGAATGGATCTCACCTGGGGGGGGGGGCAGAGGTACTCACTTGGCTCGCAGGGCAAGCTGCCGATCATTGGGACAGACCCACTGGTCATTCCTGCTGCCAAAGATGGTGTCTGCCATGGCTCAGAGCATCCAGCCCAGGGTAGGAGTCACATCTGAGATGAGAAGGAGAAGGAAAGAGAATCATCAGCTGGGGGTGCCAACAGGGTCCCTCTGCACTCGGGCACCAGACACTTGCCGCTTTTGACCTATCCTTGGACACGGGCCCCTGCCCATGCCTGGACTCTCATTCCTCCCGCAAAACACAGTTCCCTCAAAGCTCCCTTTCCAAAGGCTCGGAGTTCGGAGGGGAGTAAGTAGGTGGATCGCGTGGCTAAACAACTAAAATGGACATGACCAGCAGAACATCAAAGGGTGCGAATCAGGAGACAGAGAGGAGGCACAGCCTCAGTAACTGTCAGCTGCTGGCCCTGGAGGGCACTGGACTCCTGCCTATCTTCAGCATGGCCTCTGCATCACTGAGAGAGCCCTGCCCAGCCAGAGTGGCCCAGGCGGGGATCAAACAGCCAGGCCAAACCTGAACTTGCATCCAAATAGAGGGGAACCCAGAATGGTGGCCCCAGGCATCCATGCTCTCCCTCAAGGGCACTGTGCTTTCTGAAGCAGGGAGGAAGGCAGGGAGTGGTGGCAGCAGCCAGCATCTCCACTGGCCACAAGTCCAAAGGGCCCTGTCCACAGGGACTGCCCCCGGAATTCCACAGAGAGGGATTCCGTTCTAAGAACTACTTGATGGACCAAGGTGAGCAGCGTCTAGCTTAGCTGGCTTCTCCTGTCCACCAAAGACTGGACCAAGCCCTCTGAAGAGCTGTCGTGAGGATGCTGCTCATGCATTCTGAAGGGAGTGTGTGTGTGTGTGTGTGTGTGTGTGTATGTGTGTGTATATATGCATGTGTGTGCTCTATGGTAGTGGCTTTATTACTAGTACTGAGACCTCCCAAGGAAATGACTACTTTTCAGAGGTGATTTCCAGGATCCTGCTAGAAATCACACATACTATGGAAGAGAAAAGAGGAAAAAGAGCTGAGTTTGGCCTGGGGTAAGCAGGACGAGGAGTGGCTGCTAATGGGTTTAGGTTTTCTTTTTCAGGCTAATAAAACTATTCTGGAATTAAGTGGTAGTGATTATTGTACAATTCTGTGACTACAATAACACCACTGAATTTTATGGTATGTAGATTACAATTCATTAGCTATTACATATATATTATTTTCTTTTTCATGTTTTGCAGTGCTGGAGATCAAACCCAGGATTTTATGCTCATTAGTTAAATGCTCTATGTCCCCGGCCCAGCTATACAAAAATAGTTTTTATATTGGGGATTGAACTCGGGGCCTTCAAACTGAACTGCATCTCAGCTCTATTTATTTATTTATTTACAAGACAGGGTCTTGCTAACTCACTAAGTTACCCAGCCTAAGCTCAACTTGCCATTCTCTTGGTTCAGCTTTCCAGAGTCTTGCAGTTATAAGCATGTGACACACCTTGTCTGGTTTGTAAAAAAATTTTAGGGCCCAAAACTATATATGCTTTGAAATTGATATTTACTATATTAAAAATTAAAAGTGGGAATTTTTATAAGTTTGTTAATTCACTAAATTCATCACCTAATTTAATTCATCACCTAATTTATCTCTCTTACATAAAAGCAGTTCATAGGCTGAGCATGGTGATGCATGCCTATAATATCAGCACTCAGAAGGCTGATGCAGGAGAATCTCTGTGAGTACAAAGCCAGCCTGAACTAGGAAGGGAGTTCAAGGCCAGCCTGACCTGACCTGCATAGTGAAACTGTTTCAAAAAGACCAAAAAAAAAAAAAAAAAAAAAAAGGAAGGAAGAAAGAAAGAACAAAGGCAATTCATGTGAAGAATTCTGCTGCTTTATATTTTTACAACTATTTTGGCTTAAGAAAAAGTTGGATATTCCTATCTGATTTTTCATTCAATCTTTTGTGATACACTATTTTGTAAAAGTCTACAGAGAAGATCCAGATTCTTGCACATATGTGAGACAGTTAGAAAAGACAGGAATGGGCCAGGGATTTAGCTTAGTGGTACACGCGCCTGCCTGGCAAGCATGATGTTGTGATTTCAATGCCCACTACCAGAAAAAAAATTTTTTAAACCGTAGGAATATTGTAATAGCTTTCCCAGATAGCTGTGGACGTTTTTCTTTGATAGTGCACCCAAACTCAACATATGGTAGTTTCTTAAAGATTAGTTCCAATGTGGCATCTGAAACCAGATCCTTGAATTCATTTTCTGTACATTTGTGAGAGAAAATAATTGGGTGTTTTATAACAATGAGAAAAAGTTTTTACTTCAATGGGTCCCTGAAAGGCACTGGGGACCGCCACCCCCAGATCCCTGAACCATGCTCAGAGAACTGCTCTTCCAGACCAATGTCACCCACTGCCAAAGCGACCAGCAGGGGGCGGCAGGCAGACTGCAGCCACCCGACCCAGGAGCACCCAAAGCAGTGAAGGACCTTAACCAAGCTGACTTCCATCCCACAGACCCACCGGGCACCTGTCCTTCCAGTAAGCTTCCTCAGAACAGAGATCGTTCAGCTTCGAACCCCAGCGTGCCAGGTGTGGTGACCCATGGACAGGCCCAGTGTTGGCCACAGGCACCAATGGCTTCCTCAGATGTCACCTCAGGACCTCCTCCCCAAAGAAGCTAACACCCAGATGGGCTCATCAAACAGCTGTAAAGCGGTGCTCCACCTCCAGCCTTTGGTTCCCTGTGGTCTTCTGGTTTGTTTTTTGTTTTGTTTTCCTTTAAATTCCTGTTATCTTGTGAATGTCACAGTTGCACTGCTGAGTGGGTGTGAAATGTGTTACTCTGCTCAAAGTAAACATCTAAAATATAGTACAATTCTGGCTGCTGTGTCCTTTTTATTCTTTCTTGCTCTCTCTCAATTTTTTTTTTTAACAAAATAAACTGACCCTCATCGGAGTGGGGAAGTCTCCCTGATCCTGGGTAAACCAAGCGCCCAGACAGCTCACCCACAGTGCAGCTCCTGCCCCAAGCTGCAGGTGGCACCACTTCCTGGGCCACTGTGCCAAAGACAACCCGCCATTCCCTTGTGGATGGATAAGAGTATAAGGGTGGAGGTAGCCCCTCTGATCTGCCAGGCACCCCACAGAAGCAGGGACACCACAGGGGTGACCCTGGAATCAAGTCAGAAAACCCCAATGTTCCTTGACAGGAAGATCCTACTTCTGCAGAAGACCATGCTGTGGAGAGGGGGAGGAGGAGGAAAAAGGGGCCTGACCCTGTTATTGAAATCATCTCAGTGATGGTGGGGATGTGTGGGCAGCTCTGAGTCAGGTGGGAAATGCTTCTCACTGTCCCAAAACAGTCACCACCCAAAGCATCTCTAGGGAATAAATTCCTTGTCCCCATTGGGTCACTTCCTAGAGGGGGCACAGTTCTGGGGTCGTTGGCAAGGGGATCCTCAAACTGGCATTAACCTGTCCTTTGATCCACTGGGGGACAAGGGTCTATTCCTTTAAAACAAATTTTTAAAACTTTAAACCAAAATATGCTATCAATCTGTGGCTACTCACAGGCTATTATGTTCTTAAATCTAATCATTATTCTTCTGTTGGACAGATGAGGAGAGAGAGGGTGAGAGACTGAGGAAAGACCACACAGCCAATCATGCCGGTGTGCCAGCCCTCAACCTGGTGCTGCCCCCTCTGCTTCGCGGCACCTTCTGCCGTAAGCACGGAGGGGGTCTTTGTGGCAGTGAGGAAGATGTGGACCCGTGCATGCCTGGCTTTTGTGCAAACTTACTCAAAGTCCAGGGTCAAGTCAGTGGTCTTCCTGGGGTCTCTCATTTGGTACCTGAGGGACCTGAGATGGACAGGCTGGAATGTCTCCTCTGTAACTCTGGCCCCTAATTCAGACCCACTGATTTGCATGAGGGAGGAAAGGAGAGCAGGCAGCATACTGGAGAACAGCCCTGGGCTGGTAGCCAGGGTGCCCTAGCCAGGGAGGTGGGGACTGAGTCCCTGGCTGAACCTAGGCCACAGCGGGTAGAAGCAGAGGGTGCAACTAAGGTGTCCCCCACACTCCCATCGCTCTTACTGCTGCAGACTCAGAGGAGCCCACAAAGTAAATACTACAGAAAGATTAAGGGAGATGGAAGAATGTCACCTCCCTGGTCTGGGCCCATGGTACAGCCTGGCCAGCTGCGTCTCAGATGGCAGGGCTGTGGCTGAGCACAAATGCAGGGCTGGCTCTAAGGGAAAGTCAGCAATGAGAATGCAGGGGGAATTCAGGCCAGGGCTCTAGGACTGCTGTGCCCGCCCTGGACTGTGGCTGGCACCTTGGAAGGCACAGCTGTCCTTCTCGCATAGAGCAACCTTGGGACAGATGGGGGAGAGGAAGGGCAATTCAAAGAGGTACATTTTAGGAAAGTGCCAATGGAGCCAGCTTAGATTCTCCAAACCTCTTCAATCTGAGCCGGCTGCCAGCTCTCTGGCTCGGCAGTGGCCAAGGGCCTTGCCAGCCAACCCCCGTCCCTGGCTCCCAATCTTCCCTTTACCTGGGGGTCCTCTGCCCAGCTGTGTGCTCACCAAACCTGGCCCACCTCCTGGACTCTGCTCTTCCTTGAGGAAGGTCTTGAGCATAGGGGCAGGGCATGCAGCCCATACCTCTTAAGATTCATACCCTTAAAACTACGTGAATGAAATAGGTGTATTATTGTATGCATTAAACATGTGCTATGCACTAAGCTCTTGTATCAATGGGGTTATTTAACTACGAGCAAACAAAGAGGAGCTTACAGAGGAAAGGTGAGCCTGTCAGTTCGGAGGGAAGGGTAGAACTTGGCTGCAGGGAAATAGGCAGGAACTGCGGACAGGATATGGCTGGACAGAGCTCTGGTCACTTCCTCTATAAGCTGAAGAGAGGTGGCACTCAGGGTCTCTGTGGTCCTGGTTGTGACAGGAAAGAGGCTGGAGAGGCAGGGTGTGTGCAGGTGTATGCATATGTGTTCAATGAACGTAGGCCAGGGCTGCTGCCTGGGAGTGCAGACCCATCTCACCAGGACCCAGCCCAGGGGTCATCTCACTGATGCCACATTTCC